GGTTGTATCGAGTGACCCAAGACACTCAGTCAAAGCAGGATACAACCCAATTGTTAGTACCAAAAAGCCGCCGGGAAATGCTTTTCCAGGCGGCTCACTGCAATCCGATGGCCGGACATTTGGGGCAAGCAGCAACACTGAATCGTCTAATGACCCGATTTTTCTGGCCGGGCATTCACGAGAACGTGCGCAGGTGGTGCGCGTCTTGTCGTGAATGTCAGCTGGTGAACCCACCGGCCACCCCAAAAGCACCATTGTGCCCTCTCCCTCTTGTGCAGGTCCCCTTCGAACGAATTGGCATGGACCTCATCGGGCCATTAGAACGATCTGCACGGGGGCATCGCTTTGCATTAGTCCTAGTGGACTATGCAATGCGATACCCAGAGGCAGTGGCACTCCGCAGCATTTCCATTTCAGCGACTCATGGACCGGATCCTCCGACCGCATGCTGCGTATGCCGCGGCCTATTTGGATGACATTATCATCTACAGCAATGACTGGCCGCGGCACATGCAGCATCTGCGGGCGGTCCTGCGGTCGCTGAGGGAGGCCGGGCTGACGGCCAACCCGAAAAAGTGTGCGGTTGGGCGGGTGGAGGTAAGGTATCTGGGCTTCCACTTGGGCCACGGACAGGTGCGTCCCCAAATTGATAAGACGGCAGCAGTTGCGACCTGTCCGAGACCAAAGACCATAAAGGAGGTAAGGCAGTTCCTGGGGCTGGCGGGATATTATAGAAGGTTTGTACCTAAGTATTCGGACCTCACCAGCCCGCTGACTGACCTCACTAAAAAGGAAGCACCAGACCCGGTCCAGTGGACTCGCCGTGGTTCAGCGAGGTCTGCACCGGGAGAGAGAGAGGCAGGAGACGAGCGGTGCGTAAGTAGGTCAAGCGCAAATGATAAACACCTGTGTCTCGTTTCAGTAATTGGTGTGGAGAGACCGGATAAAAGGGGCCTAAAATAACCTACTGAGTGATAATTCAAATAAAAATCAATGTGTTCATCAGTAGTTGATGCAATGTTGAAACACTTCTTAAACCTGAAATGATTTCTGTAAATCCAGTGGTCAAATGCTGTATAGCCACCTGACCAGTGACTGGTCTTCGTGTGAATGTCCACACAACTGGAAGACTTTCTGAGTGTATATAAGCAGTAGGCTACTTTAGAAATGATCATTAAAAGATGAAAAAGAGGAACTAGGTAGAATCAATAAATTATGAATAATTTATTGCTGGTGTGTGAATAATATGTAATCAATAAAAAAGTGACTATGTAATTACTAGTATTTAAAAAAAGTAATGTTGTACTATTTTAATTTGTACTATTTTAAAATGTAATCGTTTAAGAGACTCACTCACAACATTGTCACCATACTGGCTCAATAACAGTTTCAACTGCAGAAAGATTCACTGAAAAATCCCATTGCTGTTGGACTAAACATTGGCTGCGTCGGCATCAAGACACAAATCCAATGTTTCTGTAACATCTTATATTTTTTGAAGTGCCTTTATCTCATTGCAGCATAGATTTCCTTCACTGTCTATGATATCCCACAATCCTGTGCATGCACACGGCAGTTGGTTGTAAAATTACAAATGGTGACTGATGGGAGTGATTAAAGGGAGTAAATTAATTATGACTCCGTTTCTCCCAAGAAGTAAGCATTGTAGCTATTAAATATTTGCTTGGTTATGACTAATGCCGAGTTCACACTGCACGATTTTCAAAGACGTCGCATCACTGTTGGTTTCACACTGAACGACTATCTGGGGTAGCATTCAGTTGTTGCTGTGTTCACACTGCACGATGGAACGACGACAGGAGGTTACACACTGCATGACTTTACAATAGGAAGAATCGCCAACAGCTCTGTCTGGTGCAGGGTTGCCAGGTTTTCGCTACAAAACCCGGCCAATTACTACTCAAAACTAGCCTGAAAAGTCTAACTGAAAAGTTATCCCAATTGCTTTCGAGGGGGTCCCCTAGTAAAAATCGCGTTCCGGGGGTAAAATACAAATTTTTTTGGCGGGGTTCTCCTGGTACAATTCACATTCCAGGGCCTAAATATCAGGTTATTGGGGTTGCTTCAACCTGCTGCTGACATAAAAAACAACCGGCGGCAATCGAGGATTTGGCGAGAAGGGTCTGGCTGCAGCCTTGCACTTGTACTCTCAGACTTGCACTCTCAGACACTTGCGCTTCCGCTAGCGACGTCACTTGCAGTCTTTTATTTTTTCTATCTGGGGTAGCATTCAGTTGCTGCTGTGTTCACATTGCACGATGGATCGGCGACAGGGGGTTTCACATTGCATGACTTCACAATAGGAAGAATCGCCTACAGCTCTGTCTGGTCCGCAAACTACGTTTCACAACAAAACACACGTGAGAAGTGATAAGGAAATAACGCGAGAACCCGCGTGCGTCAGACCGTAGTGCCCCAGCAAGACTGTAATTATTAAAAAAAAATATATATATAGCCCGCAAATTGTCTGTGAGCTGATTTCCAGCTACAAGGAGAAAAAGAAAAACAGATTATGCAGGAAGGAGATGCCGGGAACAGGGATTGGCTGTTCTGCAAAGAGAGTTGGAGGTAAATAATTTTGCATTAACTGTTATGCTGATGTTGTGGCTAGTCAAGCAAATGTTTGTGCTTGTTTCTGTATGATATAATTGTTCATATATCTATTAAAATACGGATATTCTGGTCTATAATCCTCCCCGAACTTCCATCTGCCCTGTATCTTGGTCTCTCATTGGCTGTAGGTCATCTCCGATGTAGTTTTCAGTCAGAAATCATTTCACACAGCGTGATTGTGAATCGCCGACAGCTCCAGATATTTAGCATGCCAAATATTTCACGGGCGTCGGCGACGTGTCGGTGATTCCCTCAGATCGCGTCTTTGATAATTCACACTGCATGATTGTCACTCGCGTGAACGAGCACCGATTTGCGATTTGCGACTTTTTGCGATTTCGCAAAACCTGTCGAAGAGTGAAAAATCGTGCTAAAATCGTGCAGTGTGAACTCGGCATAGTGAGGCAGCAAAGATATAGATGGTCTTTCACTACGTTCTGTTCCCCTACTATTCCCTAGTCTGTTTTGAGGTCTTGTAGGGAGAATTTCACCCAGTTGTCTTTGCGTATGACAAAGCCTTTCTAGTCTGTTGTGATTCAGATGATCCTGTGTTTAAACCTAATAAAAACCAAATGAATTTGGTGTTCTTTTTCATGAGAAATGTTGAAACTTCTTGTGTTGGTGCAATTCTAACAAATAACATTGTTATGAGATCTATAAACATGGAAAAACATTTAGAAAGTGAGCAGTGAGGGCTGTATGACATATGTGTGAGTCAGATGAGTGAGTAAAAACTCGGAAAGAAACAGTTTTCAGACTTTGCTCACAGTTCAGAGTCAGGAATGGGAAACAACTTTATATTTTTCCTGGATACAGCCCCACCCTTTACACTTTTCAGAAGTTTATTTGAGGTCTTTTCTGCAAAGAAACACAACAAGTATTTATGCTCCAAAACTGAAACAATAACAGGGTTTCATGAACTGTGTGAGTTATAAGTTAAAGCTGACACAAAATACAACAGAACAGAAACTGTGCCAAAAATAAAAACTAGAACATTTACGGAAATTATGGAGACTTTTGATAAACACAGATTTATGAAGCACACATACTGTACTCCTTCAAATAAACATATGGACATTTGTTTATAGATTTCCACAAATTAAACTGTGCAATTAAGACAAAAAAGAACTGTTGTCAATCTAAGTGTCTACACAAGCATATTGAATAAGAGCATTATATTTTATTTCATAGAAGTATTCTATAATTTTTTAGAACCTTGAGCATAAATAGTCAAATCTGCAAGTTTGATAATTATTTGAATGAGTGAATCCAAGAAAACAGAGAAAAATTCAAAAACACATCTTAAGATGGTCTGTTTGAAGGGAATGGTGATTTCAAGAACACAATCCATTGTGAAGCAACATGTTCTTTTCAAATCCATGTGAAATGAATGAAAGATAAGCATTATAGGTGCCAAGACAAGCTTTAACGGGAGGGGAGTACAAAAAAAAAAGCTGACACAAAAGGTGTCAAAATAGATGATCATACTTAAATTAATGCAACAATGTAATAGGCTATAAGTAGCAGAAGTCATTAAGCATTCATGTCTCTGTACCGCCTGAGAAATCAAGAGGGAGGACAGAAGGAGACTCTAATGTTGTAAATGAAGCTTGAAAATCCCCAGTTGCTAACTGATGCCGTTAGTTCAAAAATACCAGTTCCTTTTTTAACGATCTGCTGTTTGCTGGTATCAAAACTGATCAGCTCTATAAATCACATAATAATGATCAGAGCTAAAGCTCTTTATACCAGCTAGGATCATTGAAAACTTCAAAAACATTAAAATACATCCTCAGACAAAAACAAGCTTAAGAATACTGAATAGCATTTGTAGTAATATTTTGCTTTTGGCCTACAGAATAGAATTCGCACAAAATACTGCATACTTCTGTTAATATTATTTTCTGTTCTTCTGAGAGTTACAAAAATATATTTAACTTCTTCAGCAGGTAGATAATATATTTAGATCTAGACCGCTTACACTATATGTAACTGTGGGTGTGTTTGTGTATTGTATGCGATGTCATTTCATTTCTGCATCTGCAAATGAAATGTGTCTGTGTGTGTGTTCAATGAGTAGACAGTGTCTGTATATCTGTGTCAGAGCCGAACAGCTCTTTGTATAGCGGAGGGAAGAGGGAATGCACCGTGAGAGGGTAAAGCTGCCGGAACCATCGCAGTTTCTCAATATGCAGCGCACACAGAGACTTCAGCACCGGGACTCTTTGATACAGCTGGAAACACCCCAAAACACAACATTACCCGTTAAAAAATCATTCCAGCCAATACAATTCATTACTTTCTGTATTAAAATCCTTTTTTTTACCTTATGCAGTAGACTCTCCTGATTGTCTTTGTGCAGAATGTGACTTAGGGCAAGCTCCACATCTCTCCTTACTCTCTGCACTCGTTCTCTGTCTTCCAGACACGGTCGATCTACTCAAAATGTAGAGAAAGATGGAGAGATTAAGCCCATTCTACCTTGATGTCAGGGTATCTGCTGTAATGTGGTTTTGCTGCGCTCACCTGCATTGAGGAGGACCAGCGCAGTGAACACTGCCATCTGCTGTTCAGTCAGTCTCAGCGCACACAGATTGTGAGCAAAGTCAAATAGAGCAGCTATTAGATCACCGCATGCTGAAGAATAAACCCAAACATACAAAAACAGTTTGAACTACATTGCCATTAACCTTTGGAGGGTAATGACTGATAATAAATCACAATGTCAGTGAGTAATTATTCCTGTGCACTTGCATATAATATTAATGGAATAAAAGGCCACTTAAGTGTACTTAAATAATGTACACTTTCATGACTGTTTCTTAAGACACTTTACTACACTTTTAAAAAGTGCACTTTGTAATCATTTCAAATTAAACGATTTACTTAAATTTTTTATTATCTTTAGCTGTGCTTTAAAAAAGTTCACTTATTTTGATGTGACTAATTTACCAAAGGGTTTTAAAGTTAAAGTTAATATATTTCAAATGTACTAAATTGCACCTTCGTCATTATTACAAATGTATTCATATTTAAAAAATATATTTAAATACATGACATACAAGTTTCAATAGAAATGACATTAAAGTATATTTTAGTTTACTATAAATCTTTTTTAGTACATTCGGCAGTATACTTTAACAACATTTCAAAGAAAAAATAATTATTAAATTACACATAAATTAATGTGTACTGTGTAATTCCTACTCAAAAATCAGCACTTTGAAGTTATGCTAGTTACATTTAATATAAATTTAAACTACATATACTGTATAAATGTAACTACATTTTAATTTAAGTGCAATTTACATACAATTAATTTTCTGAAAACATTACATTCAATTCACAATTAAGTATATTCTCTTAAAGTATATTATTTCCGTAGTAAGTACTTCTTTTTCACAAGGGATAAGACAAATGTGGTAAACACAAGTTCCCTTTCAAGGGAACTTCGAACTGCGTCCTCTAGGGGTCGCTATGGGGAACGACCCGTGTCTGAAGCATACATTGAAAAAACACCAACAACACCTTGGCCGGCGACAGCCATGACGTCACTACCGGTGCGACTATAGTATAAATAGGCGCCGGGAGAACACATCATCCTCTTCTTCGTCTTCATTGACTGTTTTGTTTGAAGCGTGCATTTCCGTGGTAAGAGCGATCTCTATTCATATCATTATGGCGAGCACTAGAAAAGCGTTTAGAGGATGTGTGCATCCGTGCCGTCATTATTTGACACCCGATGACACACACGATCTATGCGTTGTTTGCTTGGGCGAAGAGAATGAAAAATGAAAAAGGTCTGCTCTCGTTTGTCTCTCTTTTCGAGAAAAGAGGGGCAGCCATCAGGACCCGCGGTTCAGGACCGCCGCAGCTGAGGCACGGAGGAGAATTAACTCGTGGGGATCGCAAGTGGATCTGGCCGATGAGCTGAGCCTTCCCAATCCTCCTGCCCTGCATATGATGAGCTTTTGGAAGTTATGGATCGCTCCACGGCGAGGCTTGACTTGCCGTGGAAGCGGGCAAAGAAACTGACGTTTGGTAAGTGTGCACGTTATGCTTTGCGCACTTTTCTGAAATCCTGTGTGGTAAGGGTTACGCGTTATTAGCCTCGTTCCCTTTCTCGGCTAACGATCGTGCTGTAGGTCGAGCCCCTCTCGTTGAGAGCTGGGCGTTTGCTCCCTCAGCTAGAGATTTACTGCTAGCCATTCTAGCAGTATACCTTAGATCGAGTTGATGACTTCTCAAACATAATGTTTTGGGATGCACCATTTCCATCTATGGGCTGCTCTTTCAGAGTACCACGAGGGCCCCTTAGAACGGTTTTTAAATCCATGTTATGGTAAGTGTGCACGTTAGTCTTTGTACACTTTCTAAAATCCACACTGTGGTAAGTTCGCACGCTAGTACCCAGCGTTCTTTCTAAAATCCTGTATGGTAATTTCAATAATAATTTTAATAAATTAATTTCACCTGATTATGATGTTGCCTTCTACCGTATTGTTACTGGCCATCTCATTGTCAAAAAAAAAAAAAGTATGATTGGCAGCATTTATTGTGTTTTCTTTTTTTTAATTCCGTTTTCTCTATGTGTTGTTAAAATTTAATGTAGACCTAACCAGTTGTTTATTTAATACAAAATTTTTTTGACATATCACAACCAGCATATTAATATAAGAAGCTTGTTTACATTAATTGCTATTTAATGTTTATGACCCTGGTGGGTGCGTTGTTACCCATGCAAAGAGGTTAGTCCATCATAATAGAGGTTATGTACTGTACATCTAGAGTACATGCCAAACTCCAGTCCTGAAGGGTCACTGTCCTGTAGATTGTAACTGATTAGCTGGTCCAGGAGCTAAACCCTGCAGGACAGGCCCTCCAGGAACTGAATTTAAACCCCTGAGTACCCCCTGAAGCCCCAGAGATTTACAAAAGCAAAAACAGTTTGTTCAAATATTGATAACTAACTAGCTAAATAACTAAATAACAATATCTATCTATCTATCTATCTATCTATCTATCTATTTATAGGCGCTTTCGTACAGAGTTATGGATCAACTGTTAATTTAATTGATTATGAAACTGAATTGATATATAAGAAACTGAATACAGAAAACAGAATAAACAGCGTTCTAAGCCAATGCAAAATGTTGATTTCAGATCAGTCATAAATCCAGGATGAAACGTAGCTGCTTTATGTCCAGGGAAGAGGATACAGAGGCGTCAGAGCTGGTTAAGCAAGAGATCTGGGAAATACAAATAAAAAAAATCAGCAGAGTAAAATCACTTTACAATCTCAAGCCAAAGTATCTCTGATCTCTGCAGATATTACTTGAGATGAGGGGGGAAAAAAAAGATCGGATAGGGAAAGCTCTGGCTTCGTGTGGATGTAGCCTCAGAAAATACAGTTTCACTTCAGTTCATTGAATGTCCCATGTTAATGTGGGCATGAAATGTAAGCATAGTAAACTTCCTTAAAACTGCGTGAAATACGTAGGAACGGACACCGCAAAATCAAAATGCTTTTTATAGTGATATCAATGTATACAACTGGTGAAACATTTTTTAATCTATGATCTGTGGAATATCGCATTCGACGAATCTGTCGCCCTCTAACATCTGCTGGAAATTCAGGTAAACATACTTGCGTGCACGCACGCGTGCATCCCCAGTTGATCCATAACACAGGAGGAACCTTTTCATAGTTCCTAGAACTATTGGCAGAAATTCCCGTTTTTTGATGCGTTCACACCGCAGGAACTAGGAACATATTTAGTTATAGGTACTCCGTTTGGGGGAACTAATTTAGATCAGATCCTACTTCAGAGTAGGGTATAAAACAGTATTATACAGAATAAGGAGTTACGTCACAATCTTTTCACTCCGCATTGCATTTCGGGAAGGCGCCGCCATATTAGCAGGATACGCTATCCGTTCCCATGGTTACTTTTCATTCTCTATAAGGATAAGTGCTCTAAGTATCTTTTGTTTTGTTTTTGCCTTTAGGTTAAACAATCATTCATTATTCATTGTATTGTTTGCAGGGAAGATAAGCTATTTTATCGCACTGCATGATAATTTGATTGTTTTCTCTTAGGTTTTGTAGAATTTGGTTTACAATGTTTAACCTTACCTGATTAGCGTGAAAACAGTGTCGC